TAACATTGTATTTTTTCCTGTAAAAAAAAAAAAAAGTAAAAACCTAATTATACTTACAAGTTAAAGAAAATAAAATGTTGGTTAAGAAAGAGAAACACAACCTACAATTTTGGCTACGTTGTGCGGGCGGTGAACAACCATTCAAGTGTAGAAGGCAGGCAAGATAGCATTATGGTTTGGTATGATTACAGATTGGAATTGTTCGTCAAAATACTGACTTTGTTTGTTTTATCTCAAAATATTGACTTCGTTTGGTAAAAGGAAACTTAAACTTGAAAAATGAGTTTCCGAACTCCATGCAAATAAAGAGGTGTTTCTTCCTAGTTCAGAAGTACGAGTATACAAACCTAAACCAAATCAATTGGACCAAACTGAACCAAACTAGTTCGATTAAAAATCAACCAAAACCGTTTATTTGTATCGGATAAACGTGATGGCTTTTCGACAAAGTGGCTTATTTTTATAATATTTAATATTTATTTATTTATTGCTGAATATAAAACCTTATTGTTTAAGGAGTTAAAATTTATTCATACATAACTCTTAATATAATCACATTATTTTATATAAAATTTTAATTATTTATATTTAGATTTATATTTTAATTTTTTTATTTTGATTACACAATAAAAGGCACATCTTTTCTCTTTTATCTTACCATTTTCGTATATCATACAACTCGAATTTAAGATTTTTTACTTTTAGCGGAAATGAGGAAATGAGGAAAATGTTTTTTAACCCATTAAATTATTATATTTTAAACATATTATAAATTATTGAGATTAATCAAGATTTTTTTAAAAGATAAATTACATTCACACTCTTGTATTTCCTATTTTGGGGGCGTCTTTGAGATCACGTAAACTTTCCCATTTTCGGTTGAATTTTGGTGCTTAGTCAAGTTTCACTTGCAAGATTGCTTGTTGGGTTAAATTTTGGTTAAATCGTTGGCATAAGACTATTTCTCTAGAAAATTTGGATTCTCTGAAAACTCATCTGGGCTATTGTCTTCGTATTTTGTTTCTTTATCCTTTTTTTATTTAGATATTAAGAATACAATGTAATATTCTTTACGCTTGCCTTAATCCTTTTGTTGCTTTACTGTATGGTATATGTGCCTTCCTATTGGCACTAATTTTAATGAATTTGGCAAATAACTAGTCTCTGTCTCAGTTTGGTGGATCTAAAGTGTTGGATAACTGATCTAATCAATCCAAACTAAACCCGAATTGGATTGGTTCGGTTATAATCTAAATTATTACATGGATTTGATTGAATTGAAATTTAGCCACCATTTTTTTTTTTTTTCAAGGGTAATGGTTAGCAAGTTAATAGGAATTAGTTGTTAGTAACTGGTTCTTAGATCGGGTGAATATTTTATCCCTTCAAATGAGGCACGGTGGTGGAGCTCGAAACTCCAACCACCTCACCTAAATACTTAAAACTTAAGGTCGAATCATTGAGCGCCATCAATTAAGTTGGTTGGTTTAGATGATTAAATTAGTAGTTAAAAGTCAACTCAAACTTATCTACAACAACTCATATATAATTTTTTTAAAATTTTTGATACATAAATAATAAATTATACAATAAAATATAATTATTTTCCTCTCAAGCTCCTTTCCATCCACCCAAATATTCGTTGATCACTCTATTTTGGTCAACACTGGACAGTTTTAAATCAATTTTCTTTGTTGTGTGCGGTGGGCCTAGAGTGTGTGCGCTCGTCAATATCATTTTGTTCACGGAGCAGACACTTCTGAAAATTGACTTGGAAGACTAACACTAGCATGTTTTCATGGCCAAAAAGGAGAAAAAAGGAAAAAAAAGTCTTCCGGGGGCAAAAATGGAGTTAGCATTTTATCAATTCAGCCTATTGAATGCTTTTATTATTTGTTTTTATGACGCAGTAGCGTAGTGGCAGCGCAAATGTTTTGAAACCTTAAGTTTTTTATGGGGTCTCTTTGTCTTTGTCGGGTTAGTAATTGCAGGGATGAAATTTAAATTAATGAGATAGTATTATATGAAAAAGATGCATATAATATTATATATGCCTTTTTAAAAAACAGTTAATAATTTAATAATATATTATAATTATTTATTTATAATATTTCGTAATATTATAATTACAATATTTTTATTAACAATTGCAACTTATACTATTAAAAAAATTTATTAATTCTTTTGAATAATATTTAAAACAAAAGAGAAATTATGGTCAAGTCCTCCATTTTATGCATTGGTTGAGTCAACATTTTCAGCACTATCCGTTTTCGTTTCCCTTTTCTTTCCCACTTGATCATGGGTATAATTTTAACTTGCCAATGGTATGGACATCAAATTATGAGACTATTTTCAACATTTCTTAAAAAAGGGTGCAAATTGACTATTGAGAGCCATAAAAATATATCCTTTAATTAATATTTCTCAACTAGTAAATCTCTAATAATAATAAAAGTGAATCTTTGTTTCTAAGAACTAACATGAGTTAGAAGAGCTTAACTAATCAATATCAAAATCTTAATTCTTAAGGACTATTAACTTTCTTTGCCAAAAAAAAAAAAAAAAAA